CTAGGTGCAGCCTATATACTAGATTTTAGAGAAAATCTATTAAGTAGTTCTCTAGATCTAGATCCCTGTCAATCGCGATTTTTGGTGAGATTTTGACTGGCCCACATACTGGGGTGGCCCGCTTACTGGTGAAACACGTTAACGGAGAACTAAAAGTTATAGTGCCAACGCCCGCACCTCTACGACCGCCTTGTTTTCGTTTCGGCTATGGAAGTACCTCTGCCAATATCACGAAGATGGAGCGCTCAATTACCATCCCAAACTCCGGTTCAACTGTTCGTGTTCGCGCAATTGATACGACGACCACTATGGCATGTGACGCTTCCGCCTTCGTACGACCGGTCCTGAAAGGCCATGAAAGACTCAACTTCAAGACGATGTGCTTCTTGATCGAGAATGAATCGAAGTCACGGCGAATCTTGTTCGACTGTGGCGGAAGGAAAGACTTCTGGAATGCCTCGCCACATACTCGGAACATGATTGGAACTTATGTGCCATCTCTCAGAGTGGAAAAGGGAGTCGATGAGATACTCACTGAAGTCGGGTTTGACTTACAGACTCTGGGTCAGTCTCTCTACAGCGTATATCAATTACGCACGGCTAACTAAATGAGCACAAAGATGCTATTGTGTGGAGCCATTGGCACTGGGATCACATCGGCGATGCTTCCAAATTCCCACCGCACACTGACATTGTGGTGGGACCAGGGTTTAAGAGTAACTTTCTGCCTGGCTACCCAGACGACCCGGACGCGTTCATGTTGTCAAGTGACACATCGTAAGTTTGCGCTTCGTCAACTTCCATCCCGATAGTGCTCACGCAAGTAATAGCGGGCACTTTGTTGATGAAATAACTTTCAATAACGAGCTGCGCATTGGCAAATTCCGAGCACATGACTACTTTGGAGATGGTTCTTTTTATATTCTGGACGTTCCAGGCGTAAGCACATCACAAGATATCCATTTGTTTTATCTGCTCATTTCCTAGCACACGATTGGTCACATAGGCGGACTTGCTAGAACGACACCGAACACATTCATATTCATGGGCGGCGACTGTTGTCATTTTGTAGGAGCCTTCCGCCCATCTGCCGCTGTCCCGCTCCCAGATATAATCCCACAAGGACAACTGGACTCCAGCATCCCTGTACCATGCCCATGTTCCTTTTTCACGGCTTGTCACCCTTCTACAACGCGGAACGAGCACGGTGTGGTGAACGACCATGAGGTAAGACGTAGTCCATTCTATAAGGTCACCCAGAGCGAAACATCTGCCTATACAGATGCGCAACAGTCGCAAGAAAGCATAGATCATTTGCGTGCCTTTGACGCAAGCCCAGACATATTGATTTGCCTGGCTCATGACAACACACTTTTTGATGTCTTTCCATTGCTGGCTACATCGCCTGAAAGAGATGTTAATGATTGGAAAGCAATGGGTTACAAGGAGCGGACGAGATGGGCGTTTCTCAATGAGCTTCCGCGTGATGGCAAGCCTGGAAGGACACCTCTAGTTTCTGGGCAGTGGAAGGACGGAATGAGAATAAGTCTGGGGGACGATTCTTACTTTCATGAAGTGGTGTAAAGCACCGTTCAAAATCCGTATCTCTCTGTACTTGACTGGTCCTTTGCTGATTTCCATGTGGTCTCAAACTTTGTATTCTCTCCTATATTCTCTTAAAACTATTGTATACCTCTCTGATTGCAGAGTAAGATCGGGAGATTTCATTTCCAGAAACGAAATACTATAGTACTGGTGGTATAACGTCGGGTGATCCCACATAAAGATTCGGGGTAGTAAGACTATTTGCTCAATGACCAGTAACCATAGGGTGGCCCCACAAACAGATCCGTACCAACAACCCCACCCTGTAATCGATTCCGGCTAAGTAAGGAATGCTATACATACTTCAAAGTACTGGATCAGGCCCGAAAGTTCGATTTCAGTTATGATTTTACCAACCAGTCAATCTCCAGCATGTGTTAGAGTTTCTGCTCTAACGGGTGGGCATCTAACCCTTCCCGAGAACCTCTTTGTGACCGACGCCGATGCATCTAAACGAACGCTGGTGCCATCAATGTGTTTCTTGATCGAGAGGCACGATCCGACACAAGACGACAAGATAACCCGAATAGTGTGGGATCTGGGCCTCAAACGGGACTTGAAGGGCTACGAGCCTGCTATGCAAAACCATATTTCCAACCGTCAGCCAATCATAACCGACCCAGACGTCGCACAGTGTCTGCGAAACGGAGGGCTTGATCCCAGTAAAGATATTGATATCGTCATGTACAGCCACGTGCACTGGGATCATGTCGGAACGCCATCGGACTTTCCGAATTCAACATTCATAGTAGGATCAGGGACACTTGATCTGCTTGCCCAGGGCGCTCCACCTCATTATCCCGCGGAGATTTTCGACACAAAGATGCTGGACGAATCGCGGACCAAGGAACTGCCATATGTCTCTAAGGTCGATAAGATCTACGCACGGAAAGAGCTTCAAACAAACCACAAGTGGAAGTCAGCGTTTGGCTTTCCAGCAGTTATTGACTTCTTCGGCGACGAAAGCGTTTTGATAGTCGATAGTCCAGGCCACCTACGAGGGCACATCAATCTCTTACTTCGTCTTGAGAAAGACCGTCGCGTATATCTTGGAGGTGATTGCTGCCACGACATCCGCATTTTGGAAGGTACCAAAGATATTGCGCTTTATGACGATGGACACGGTCAGCTCCGAAGCGTCCATATGGATACGGATACTGCGAGACGTACGATTGCGCAGATCAAAGAATGTCTAAGTGAGTCGTCTGGGCTGCGAAAGCAAAACACCAAGGTTGAGATCGTGGTGGCGCATGACCGATCATGGATGGAGAGAAATCCACATTGCTTCTTCCCTGGGTATATGTAATATGGGACAATAGAAGAAGCGGTCTAATTCAGCATTTCATGAGAAACACACGCATCAAGAACACGTTTGAAATAGGTTTCGACCATTACGGCACGTCATACTTTTAGACCCTCTTCTAATAGTTCCTTATAGAAGGTGTCGGAACGCTTTTTGCTTGATATTTTCGAATTGCTGCTAGTTTCGAGGCTGAAGATAAAACAAATTGCTCACCATAAAGCGCGTTCATATAAATGGGACTTCCAACGTAATTTACATAGGATGAGAGTAATTGAGGTAATCTAGTTCGCCTAAGGACCCAACGGACACGATGCCGAATGCGGTTATTTATCTATCCCTTCAACCCAAACTTGCCGTGTGGGAAAACCATACAACACGCTTCCCCCAAAAAGATGTCATTTCTTACTTTCGAGTTCCTCGGCGAGTATTGGGTAAGCTAGATTGGCTGTGTGAATGCTTAGCTGCGACGCAATTTCAAGCACTTCCAGTATTTCTTCCACAGTCGCTCCGTACCGCAGCGCATTCCTCATGTGTTCTTTCAGTCCCGGGCGATACAGATGTGTGGCGGCGGCATCAAATGCGCAGTAAATTAGTTCTTTAACCTATGCACGTTAGGAGAGCGCAAGTATCAGCCCGGTTTGAGTAACCTACCTTCGGTTCTAGTACACCCAAATTCTTGGCCTTGGAGTCATCCGGAAGCCATGGGGCTGAGGAGAAAGTGGTGTATGCTGCGAAGAAGTCTGGATCCAGTGCAAGGAACTCTTCCCAGAAGCTATGCCAGTAGCCGCGCTTCTGAGTGAAGTCTTCCTGTAACTGAAGCTTCGAAGCGTCCAAAGGCTTTCCTGCCGTAGGGTGACTATCGTACAGCCCTTCCTCCTTCATAACCTCTACTAATGTAGGGACACCAACGTTGCATGCATGTATGCCAAGTGTTGATGTAAGCTGGATGATTTCCTTAATTTCTGCGCCTGTGGCTCCATTAGCCAAAGCTTCCTTGATGTTCGCCCTAACACCTGGCGCGTACAGGTGTGTTGATGAAGAGTTAACGGCCAGTGAAATGAAGCTTTGGACCTTGGGCGAAAGATGTTCGCTCTTTTTTGGGACAGCTTTCAATCTCACGCTGGCCTCGAAGAATTCTGGATCGAGCTCTGAGAACGATTTCCAGGATTCGTCCCATTCCCATTCCCCCAAGTTCGCAATGAACGTTTCTTTAAGTTCCTGGTTCATTGTAATATTAGCATAAGATTAGCGGTATTCCTGAATTCCTCGATTGCTTAGTAGTCAGGTGGGGCATGTAGTACAAGAGCTATATATACACAGGCACAGCTTTCCCCGCAAATAAGATTCTAACCCCACATTGTATCCCCAACGGCCCTTTACCCCAACTACCAACCAAAATGGGAGAGATCTACACCTTGTCAATCATCTTTCCGACACTATACACCAGCATTTGCTACCGCCACTATTATCTCTCGTGCTATTCCTTGAGTCTTTCGCCAATATGGCTTTCGATCGAACATCAGTAGCCTTTATAGGTATATTTAGAGAAATCCCAGAGAATCATTACGCTAACGCAAACCCTCCAGGGCTTGGCGTCATGGGCTACCCTATGGCTGTTAATCTTCGCAAAAAGATGAGCTCTGAAGTGACATTGTATATTTGCGATGTCTCTGAGGCAGCCGTATCCCGATTCCAGGCGGAAATGAGTGGCGAAGGTCCAATAAGAGTGGTACAGAGTGGCTTTGAGGCAGTAAATGCTGCAGTAAGTGTCAGCCGCATGCTTAAGTGCGGATAGCTCTCCTTACGTGTTCAGGGTATCGTACTCTCCATGCTTCCTGGTGGCTCTGCTGTCAGATCGGTCTACTGTGATCCCCAAACAGGCATCTTAGCTGGGGCCAAGGTTGCATTTCAGAAGTCGCAGGCTCCTAAGCTACTTATGGAATGTGGGACGATTGAGAGCGATGTTATAGCAGACGTCGCAAAGTCTGTTGGAGATACAGCTCATGAGTTGGGAGATGATAACTACCTTAGTTTTGTTGATGCCCCAGTGTCTGGCGGCCCTATGGGTGCCGAGGCTGGTACCTTGACTTTCATGGTTGGGACAAATCGACCGGATCATACTTTTGATACAGTAAAAGATATTCTAAAAGTGATGGGATCGCCAGGCGGTATTTTCTTGTGCGGCGATATCGGCGCCGGAACAGCATTCAAGGTCATCAACAACTATCTGTCAGCTATTACTAGTCTGGCGGCTTCGGAGGCTTTGAACATTGGATCAAAACTCGGCTTGAACATTGCTACTTTGACCGATGTCATCAATGCTAGTGGAGGACAGTGTTGGGTTACCTCGAAAAGCAACCCGGTTCCTGGCATACAGCCTAATACGCCAGCTAGCAGGGACTACGAAGGAGGTTTTCGCATCGAACTTTGTAGAAAGGTACTTAAAATGGGAAGTGATTTGGCTGCCTCTGTAGGTGCACGCACAGTTCTCGATCAATCAACGCTCAAGGCCTTCGATGAGTGCATGAGTGATCCTCGCTATAGTGGGAAAGACGCTCGCGTGGTCTACAAGTGGCTCAATGAAAGTGTCACTCCATAAACAATATCGTCAAAAAGAGTAGAAGCAAGCGTAGGACATTTGTTTTCGCGAATGAAAGCTTTTCGGATGAACTCCATCGGCCAGAGAATGTTTTGGCTGTTAATAGCTGTTCTTCATCGCGTGAGAACAACTTTTCGGGGTTCGTAATGAAAATTTCCACCACAATATTAATACAATCCGAATATTCCCATACCATTGATGACAAATAAGAAAACTGATATCGATTCACATGCTGCATTTTACGTACTCTTCGCAGTATCGAGGGATCGCATCTCTAAACTTATTCCAAAGGTTCGCCAATGATACAATATGCGAAATCTTACTCTGTCGCACGGCTCCTCCATAGTGAGCATAATTCAGCTGTCAACCAGTCATATTATAAGCTCATCATGTCTCACTTGCTCAGCTATCTCAGCCAGTGAAGCCACATGTGCTCGCTTATACAATCGAATCCCCGACCGTCTACATAACGCTCGCCCAAGGGTCGTCTCGCGTTAGTCGATTTATGCTCAATCAGGCAAATTGAATTCTTAAAAGTGCATGTGCAATGGTCCTGTTGAAGTATACACCCCAGAAAGAATAAAAAAATAACCAAAGGTTGTACAGAGATTAAGGCCAGTTTGCCCAGAACGGGAGTCCATGATCTAGCGGTCACAGGTGCTCGTTCTCGACTTCTCGTGGGATCTTAAAAGGAGACGTAATCACGTATCGACATCTGGAAATCTATGGAAAATTGCAAAAAGAAAGATAACGACAGTCACTAGTCAGCTTCTCGCTTAGCAAGCGTGGGCCCGCACAGAAGTGCGCTGCTTACAACCTTCCCTCCCCCACCGAAAAAATGCAAAAAAGTACAAAAAGATGCAAAAAATTTGAAACTCTCCAGCGGGGAATTGAACCCCGGTCTCCCGCGGACTGTCAATTACTTGACAAGCGGAAATACTGACCACTATACTACTGAAGATGGCTGGATGCCATTGGTTGCAAGAACCAGTAATGGTGGATTGATGGTAACATGGGCTTTTGGAGAGTTTATATCCTGAGATTACGATGCTGGGTTCTGGAAAGATCTGAGATGATGAACAGTAATATTCAGAATCAGCAAGTGGGTGGGCCACCCCACCAAACCTTAGCCGAGTCCCTTTCCAATCACCACGACGCCGCGACAACAGCGCCCTATGCATGCTTCCTGGAAAGGTGGAACTTTTCTTGGTACAGCTTCCTATCTTGATAATTCAACATAATCTGTGTGCGCACTTGCAACAGCGCCCTCTCTTTTGAGCTAGTTATGTTCTGCAATCTAGCTGGAATGGCCGAACGCTTGAACAAGGTGAGACGTGAGCAAGCTAGCTAAAACTAACTCGCGAAACAAGAAGTCTATCCCACACCCGTACCCGAACGTCACTACCAACGTCTTCTTTACCGCAACTTTTGTCTGTGCATGCACAATCGGCTCGAAGGTTTCATCCAACATCTTGCCTGTTTTACTTCCAGGTTGCGGCCACTCCCTTTTGACTTCACACAGCTCTTTCTCCAGCATACCTTTACCCTGCTTCCACACGAAGTTGCGCCCGCCCCATGCCATACGCCGCGGCTGCCACTTGACATGTTTTGTCCGATCCGGCTTGTCAATGACCGGCAAAGAAGAGCATGTGAAGTGGGTGAGTTGCCGACCAATGGCACCGTCGTGGCTACTACCGGTGCTTCGCACTGGCGTTACGACAGTTTCTACGCAAGGCGTAGTAAACTCAGTGGCCCGCGACAGGGATGTTTTCGTAACTTGATAGCGGGGGCGCTTGAGGCCTTGGAGGACGTACAGAGTTTGTCGCTCACTAGAGTCCTTGACTTTAAAGTAGTACCAACGACCGGAGGTAAAAACGTTCTCGCAACTCACATACACATGGAATGTGATGTCGGGTTGAGCCTTGTCAAGAAGGGGAGTGTAGAATGACACCGAGTGAGTTCCATCCTTGTTCAAAGGGAAGATATGCTGAATCTCTGTGGGTATCAATGCTGAGTTTCCTTTTGAAGAAGCCAAAAGTGATGCGACTATTTGCTTTGAATTGATAGCAGTCCCTTGTGGCACAGTGGGCCGCATTTTGTCGTGCAAAGGTTTCAAGCTCCGGGACAGCAGCATTTCGTCGAAACTCAAACATGGCAATCCGTTGATCAGTTTCGTTAGACTCTCCTGTGCGCTGAAGGAGGATGGTAAAACAACGTCGAGCCTGGTCTTGTGGCCACTTAATATCGGTTGCAAGACCTCGCGCCGTTTACCATGAAACTTGGCCTGTTTATGGGCATCTCGTTTTCTCTCCCGGTCAAGGAATCTGGCATCATCGGCGAGTCTATTCAGCGCGGTTATAGCATCCCCATGCCGGTCAAAGGCTTCCCGAAAATTTGAAAAATGCTCCGCTTCGAAAGCAGAGCGACATAGCTGAGCTACTTGAGCATCAGTTTGGACAGCCATTGATAAGAGGTATGTGAAAAAAAGACGATAAAGGTACGATAGATGCTGCTGTTCAATCAGGCTTGACAGAGGTAAGAATATAATTCACGCGCAGTTGGTCCTTGACCTCAATTTATACTACGTAGCAGACTTCCTACTTGAACATAAAGTGGCGTCAGTCAGCACAGCTGTGGAGCATCAAACATAGATGTATAGTGGCGCCACAAGTATCGAGGCCTTTGGTAATTGGCAAATGAGTAGCTCTCTTTGTACAAAATTCGGTGATGACTAGGCAACAAACTGATAGTCGTGGCTTCAAGGAGGGACCAGCCTTCTGTCTAGTTCTCCATTTCTGTACTTGTTACGCGAAAGACCTATGTTGCCACTTCTCTTGAACAGCTATGGCATGTAAGCGAAGACAGCTTCAATGACCTGACTCGCTAGTGCCAATCGTTACCACTTTCTGCGGAAGCAATTTTGCTACCTGCCAATCGCGACAGAATGGTAGATCACATGGCGTTTTTAGCCATATGGGCCAAGTAATAGCCCATTGTTTCCTTCCAGAACGCTGCTTCTCAAGAGTGTCAAAAACCCAGAGAAAGAGACTATCGTTTAAGGAAAGTACTTCTGGAATGCAAGAACAAGACTTGATGCACGCTTTGACTTGAGATATTTGAAAGCAGCCAAGGTAAAGATAAGTCCCATTAAACGGAAATCTCTCCTTAACCATGCCGGAGATCCATGCATAGAAAGCTCGAAACCTCATGTTCAGGTACGCTACTATGTAAGCACCTGACAGCTTATTTGTTGAACACCATTGGCCCAGCGTACGCCACTTATAATTGGTGAACGAGATTCTGACTTCCTCCGCGGACATTGGCAGAACAAGCTTGGAAATCGGCCGCAGCTCGGTTCGAAGCTTGAATCATATTGGCTGTAGAGGGATGGACATGCTCAGGGATGGTACTAGACATGAACAATGAGTATCTGATATAGTACAGGACGTAGATCAGGGAGCTACATAGGAGCAAAAGAATAGGGTTTTGGATGCACATGTCATGGCGCGTGTCAGGGCGACTGAATTGTTCTCCAGCGCCTGCACACATTCTCAGGACTCTTACAGCCACGCTGTGACATTGACCTTGGAACAAAGTTATCATTTCAGCTCCAACCTATAGAGCCAGCTTGCCACAGTGGTACTAGAGAAATTCATTGCATGGAAAAGTCTAGTATTACACAAGAGATAGCTATACTGCTGTAGGCCTATAATACCATGTGAAGTCACGTGGTTGTCGACTGAACTTGTCCGCAGTGGGAAGTGTGGTCTGGATTCACGAACAAAAGAGTCTCTTGGATGACAGTGTACATCACGAGAAATTCTACCGACCTTTCATGAGATGGACGAAATTATGAAAAGGAACCGGCAGGATTTTGATTCGCTCTCTATAGTATTACGATTATCAAGGGTTGCTTTCATGAGCGGCATACCGCTGCCCGAGTCCCAGTTCGATTCTTATACTATTCATATCTAAAGCTTAAGCAGCGGTCAGCGTGCCCTGCCTAGAACCGACTTGTTGGCAAGACATCGGGATAGGTCCGTTGCAGCCGACATCGATCATACCCGTCAAAGTAGTCCTGATTTCAATTAGTATAACGATGCCAAGGAAAGAGACTGACTTACTTGTCTGAGACTTTGTGAGTGACAGTGACGGTATAAATATCGTAACCCGGGCGACTGGTGATCTGGAAAGAATATTTGGGGTTGGCGCATGCGTAAACGTTGGACGGGACTGATGGATCTGGGAAGGTGTCTGCATTACAGCTGACAGGACCGGATGGAGTGGTCAGGGTAAGGCCAACGTAAGTGAGGGCATCCCAGTTGTCGTTGCTGTTGCTATCTTTACGGACGAATACAGCACCGTCGATGGTGATTTGCTCTTTAGATGCACGGCTTTCCACTGGTGCTCCTGCGACTACAGCGACAATGCCAAAGGCAAGGCCAGCGAAGAATTGAGAACGCATTGTGGTTTTAATAAATAGCGTGTTGGGATGGTAACAAGGATTGAAGAGGGTGAAACAAGTGTTGGGTTGATACTAACAAAGCAAGTTGTAAACGTGAAGTGTGACCATGTACCCAACAGCAATGCTTGGATTCTTATATCCCTCTCCCAGCAACCTTAAATTGATAATGGCCTGACGCCTGTTCTGGCCACGCTCAGAGCGAGGGCTCGAAATACGAAGGACCTCGTTTTAAATGAGTCATTTCTGGCCCGTGCAACCGCTCTACAAAGCTTGCTGGTCGCATACGTGGACAGTAAAACAATCACATGGTATATTGATAGGATCCTCCAGAAGAGGTTGAGCTGTTGAAATTATCGACTTTGAGTCTCCTCTTGGATATTCAGATTGAGAGCGATGATCTTGATATAGAAATGTAGTGATTCGGTCAAATTTTAGCGCACGGGCGGGGAGATTTCCTCATCAAAACCAAAACAAGCACCTTGGTGGAGAATCAAGAAATGGCGGGTAAACTTTGATTAGAACAGATGACAGAAATGAGTACCATAGCACTTACGAGGCAGCCTCAATTTGGAAGTTGATAACGCGTATCTTGAAAGCTAGTTACCTAAGTTAGGACGTGCTATGGAGGCGGGTTGAAGACCTGCTGCTTGACAAAGGTGTATTAAGGCTGTAGGGAGATGTGGCGATGTAACGCAGAAGAGCTCAGGTGGCCCTGAGTTCTCCTGAGCTAGCCGACTACTGATTATTGCGAGCGTTTCATGACCCCGCTTCCCATCGGAGTTGCATGCGGAAAAGGCTCGGCCAGGACCAGCGTTGTCAATATGCAAGCCTGGCAAGCTTGTATGCTTAATCGTTATATGTATCCATGGTGGATTCAGACCGATCAGTTAAGTGGTACAATAGTTCGGCGTCACAGTCATAGCGTTTGAAGGAGATTTTCTGGTTGAGCACAACCTATCACGTGATCGCATGCTGGAAATCTCACGTGATTTGCTGCCGTCTCTGCAGGACGGGGAACGTCACGTAGATTTTCTCTTAGCCCTTGGACTCTGGCCATCAATCCCAACAGGCTATTAAGCCAAGCTAGGACTCGTAATCGCTATTGACAATGCAGAAACTTGACGCTGGAAATTTAGTTATAAGGGACTGGTTTGCTCAACACAAATCTATAAAGCAAAAACATTCCGCCATGAATATGGACGAGGGGTCTTGAAGATCTAGTGAAGCTCTTGATCACCGAACATATATTCAGGGTTCTGATCATAGCTCTACACATGCCGCTTCGAGGTACCCAGTCGCTGAGACTTTACATCCGTTTCGAAGCACAATAATAAGTCTTCGGAGAAGTGTCAGACTAAAGTTAAATGACGAAGTGATGCTTCATCGCATCTGCAATGCCTTGAGGTAATGTTGGTCATCTTGATTCACGAGTTCACTTGATTGCGGCTGCAGCTGTTGGATAAGTTGCTGGGCGTGGTATTTCAATGCCGTGCCTCAATTGAATGGTGAGCACAACGTCGGATAGGGATTCATTATCGAAATCCGTATATGTAAAGTGAGAGCCAACCTTCAGATTGTTGGTTCATAACAAGTCCTCGTATCAAGATCTCCCTAGTTTATCCTTTCTCAAATCTCCAAGATTTTTCAACACACCCCTGGGCTTACCGTCGTAACCCACTTTTTCCATCCAATCTTTAAGGCTGCGGATACGTGTGGGATGAATTCGATCCAGAAGTTCCATGTCCCTAGTCGCCCCAAGGCCTTCACTCCAATACTGCCACCAAGCTGAAAAATTCTGCCTCCACGTCATCGATGATTCGTCCCGAACTACGTCTGGTCCCGCAGCCCAGTTGGCCCAAGCATTGGGATATGGCTCAGCAACAGGGAGGTAATCTTCGAGTGGTACGTAAACATGTGCGGCTTTCTTTCCCGTGACTTGTGTGAATGTATCAACAATCTGCGCGAAGCTGACTTGCTCGGTCGCAACTTCCAAATCTAACCCTGCAGACTCTGAAGGGTTGTCAAATATCCACAGACTGTAAATACCCACGTCGGCGAGGGCTATGAGTGGGATTTTGCCATCCCCTGTAAAAAACGTTAGCGATACTTTCAGTAAGAGACACGAGAAGCGATGAAGCAAGACTCACGAGCTGGATTTGCCCAAATGAATGAGCCATCGGCTTGTTCCTTTGGAACGAACATCCCGTCAAACAACATATCCATGTAAGGTCCCGTAGTCAACAAAGACGTTTTCATAGTCTCTTGTCCATGACCGAGAATTAGGTCACCGATCCGACCTTTTGCATCATTGTGGCCCCAATGATATTTTTCATCCCAGCCCGCCTTCTTGACCGCATAGTCTGTGTTTGCCCACACAAAATGTTTCACTCCGTGATGCCTCGCGATCTCATATGCCCTGATGCCATAGAACATCTCGCTCTTTTCGCCAAGAGTGAAACCATCCGTGTTCACCCAAGCACCATGTACGCCGTCGAAGGCTCGATGGAGGTCTTTTTGCTGGTCCTGACTTCCTTCCATAAGAGTGACATTCGGCAAAGCAGAGAGTTCTCTAGCCTGCGTGGATTCGGCACTTCGAGTCAGAACTCTAACGTTATATCGATTGCTACTCGAAAGAGCTGATCGTAGCATTAGTATACGTATTGACACGTGTGAATAAAGACTGACCTTTGACGACGGGCACGCCCTGCGCGCCTGTCCCACCGATTACTAGAATCAGCTTGGGATTCGCCATCAAACTGCACGTTGCTTTTTAGTGTGTAAGGCTTTCGAGGCTTTCAAATTGTTCTTGTTTCTCTTCGCATGATCCTTAGTCTAAAGATATTTAAGGTTAATACAGCCCTGAATACAAACTTCCAACCATTTCGTAAACTCGTCCGGACTAATTTCTAACCTAAAGGAAACCATTGGAAGTTTCCTTCACAGTAATTTCAAATGCTGCGCATTATGAAGCATCTAAAGCCGACACCGAGAGAATTGCTAATTCGCATACCGATTTTGGGTATCCTGGTCGGGAATAAGGAAGGGGAAGCGCCAAGCATCGGAGAAATGTAGATTAGTGATCGATCCGTCACAAGATCCGAGAGAGAAAGGCCGACTTCCGCGGTTCTGCCAGCTAATGGTCGGCACAAAGATCAGTAATCCTAATGAACCAAACCGAGCTGACTAAGTCACGCTGCTTTCGCACCACCAATCAAATTATTGTTGTTGCCGACTACTCCAGTTGATTGATTGCGAAACGGACGAAACCATCTTCCATTCAGTGATTCGACATAGAAACTTTCTATTACGCGTCTTCACTTGCTTACCAACGTGTCCCGATGATCCCGTCTATCCTCATAACTATCTTGTATGTTGAGACTTCCAATGGTTATAAATAACGGTCTCTGGATGGAGGTCTGAAGAGATTCAGCATATCAAATCAAGCAATCTTCACCCATAACTTCTATCCAATTTCACAATGTCAAATTCTCTCGTCTTTATCACTGGTGGGACCGGCTTCATTGGCGCACATACCGTTCGAGCCTTACTTGAAGCTGGATACCGTGTGCGTCTGAGTATTCGAAGGCCTGAACAAGATGCGATTGTCAAGAAGCGGTATCCGGAATTCGCATCAGCTCTCGAGACTATATTGATAAAAGATTTTTCCGATCCAGAGTCGTTCAAAGAAGCTCTAGCGGGAGCCGAACATGTCATCCATCTCGCAACACCTATGCCCGATCGTTCCGGCACAGACTTTCGCAAGGATTTTGCCGAACCAGCGGTCAACGCAACTCTCGCAATCCTCAAAGCTGTATTGGATTTTCCGCAGATCAAGAAGGTGATTGTCATGTCCTCGAGTGTCGCTCTGCTTCCTATATCCGTCTTAGCGAGGCCTGACTTGGAGTATGAGGTGAAGGGTGAGTTGTTTGCCCTGCTTACTGAGACGCTCGCTGATACAGTTAGACAATACTGGCGAGGTCATCCCTGTCGACCTTGATGCCGAGTTTCCTCCAGGCCTTATGGGACAGGCCATGAAATACTCTGCGTCTAAAATTGTCGCGCATCAAGCAACGCGTGATTTCGTCAAGGAAAGGAAGCCTGACTATACGCTTATCACTTTTCATCCAACTTACGTTATGGGCCATGACATCGCCCAGGAAACAGCAGAAGGCTTGGGCGGGATTAATTCTCTCTTATGGAAGTCACTTGCCTCAGAGAAGCCGCTGCTAGGCACGTCTTGGATCCATGTCCAGGACGTTGCGGATGCGCACGTCAAAGCCTTACATGCGAACGTCGAACATGGGAAGGAGTTTCTTCTTTCGGGTCCATCATTTCCATGGGAAGACGCGATAGAGTAAATTCGGAAGAAGTTCCCTGGGTTGGAGGTCAAACTAGTGCCTCCATTTGAAGGGAAATGGAAAGTTGACGTGACTGGTGCCGAAACTGTATGTCATTCCTGGAAGTAAACGGAGAATACAACTAATTGCCTTACATTTAGGTTCTCGGTCTTAAATGGAGACCCAAAGAGTTGATTCTTGACGAGGTGATTGGGCAACAGCTTGCTCTTGGAAATAAGTTGCCCTAGGGTTGGAGGTAGTGGGATATGATAGAACGTAATGGGCACTTTCATCTCTGTAAGCTTGCTGCGACCGAAGAGAAAACAACTGTCAAGCACATGTCAGCCTTGGATTCGCCAGAATGGTAGCGGGATATGGCTGTCCAATCGTTGAGCGTTCGTGGTGGCCAGTTGGGCAGCAGACACTAAGGCGGAAAATTCGTAACGCACTCAAATAAGCTTAAGGTAGCCTTGAACGTGAAGGAAACTGCAACACTACAAATTGGCATTCCGTGTGTAAAGTATCATCTAGTAACAGTCACAACTAGAAGCAATGACAAAGCCGGCAGTAGAAAAATTGAGGAGTTGGTGATTCGAAATGTACTGAGCCTTTGCTGACGCGGTAGCCCAAACAGGAAATAAGTATTTCATTGCTTCGCTTCGGGTCTCTGATATTGTGTAATCAATCGTTGCTGCTACATTTCCTGAAGCTTAATAACGATGATAGCATGTAATTGAGTTAAGATCGTAGCCACTGGAGCGTCATCATTAGAGAGCGGTAAACGAGATAGATAGTCTTGCTAGCAACTATTACTACATTTGAAAACATTAGAAAAAAATCACATCTCCATATCTTATTTCCTTGTGGCGTTGTTAGAGTAATACATCCACCTGAAATAGCAAAGTGACCCGGTCGATATTCTACTGGAATCCACAACCATTCTTCATCATGACGGGTTATCCAAGTGCGGTCCTCAGAAATGTTGATAATGCACTGAACAATTTGTTGAGGTGTTGCTGTTCCTTCAGAATGTGGCAAACCAAAGACGTCGCTAGGAAGGTAATGGTCACAGGTGCTGAGAATCTGCAAGCATGTACCGCTCTTGGTGTCCCAGATGTTGACGGTCTTGTTGATAGACAATGATGCCAACCGCGTCAAGTCGTCAGAGAAGACCATCTCATAGACTGGGGAAACCTGTTTCTTAAGAGTTTGCAGGCATGTACCGTTACTAATGTTCCAAATCTTGATAGTGTTGTCTTCTGATGCTGACGCTAGCCGCGCCAAGTCGTGTGAAACAACTAGTTGTTGAATAGAGCCGCGATGGCCTTCGAGTGTTTGTAGACACGCAAGACTGTCGATATCCCTAATTTTGATAGTACCATCGCTTGATCCAAAAATCGTCCTTGTGGAGTCATAAGACCTGGCCATCGGACCCTGAGCGAAGCCTCCCCTCAACATGCCCACGTCTGACCCCGCGCAGTAACACCTTGTGGTATCCAGGATTTTCTGCATCGAGTCCTGTAAAAACGCCACAGAGCTCACGTTGTTATGCGTCCGCAGGAACGCGCTACTGCTAACATCCCAGATTTTGATAGTTTTGTCCAATGACGCCGATACCAGCTGCGTTGAGTCATGTGAGAAAGCTACTAGGGTGACTGACTTTCTATGGCCTTCATAACTCTGTACACATAGACCGTCACTGGTGTCCCAGACCTTTATAGCTCTATCGTATGACGCTGACACTAGCCGCGTGGAGTCATGCGAAAAGGACACTGAGGAAACGCGATTGTTATGGCCTTCAAGCGTATGTAGACATGCACCGCTACTAATATTCTAGATCTTGACAGTACCATTGAATGACCCTGATGCCAACCAAGCACAGTTTTGTGAAAAAGCCATTGGGGCATTAAGATGATCATGACTTTCGAGCGTCTTCAGGCACGCACCGCTACTAACGTCCCAGATCGTGATCGTCCGGTCGTGTGATTTTGACGCTAGCCGCATCAAGTCGTGCGAGAAGGCTGTGAGCTTATGGTCCTTATTATGGTGGATTTTAGACATGTGCAGGCACACACAGCTGCTGGGGTCCCAAATCTGAACAGTCCCGTCAGGTGACGATAACGCTAGCTTCATAGAGTCGTGTGAAAAGGTTATGTAGCTAACAAGCTCATAGGGCAGAAATGTGCGTGAACACACATTGCTACTGATATCCCAGATTTGAATGGTGTTATCCTTTAACACTGACGCCAGCCGTGAGAGGTCATGCGAGAAAGCCACTACGTTGGTGTAGGTCTCGAATGTCTGCAGACACTCGCCGCTTTTGACGTCCCAGATCTTAGCTATCCCAATGTCCGACAGTGATGCGAGCCGTGTCGAATCGTGCGAAAAGACCACTAATTTGATGTCGCGCTTATGACCCTCAAGCGTCTGTAGACATGCACTCCAATTATCATCTACCTGAGGCGGACTCTTTATCCATTGTGTCAGCTGATCCGCAAATTGCCTCTTCACTATACTGTTCGCTGGTGCAAACATAAGAGCACTGCTATACACCTGCAGTGGAGCTAGCACAATCGGTAACCGGTTGTACAACGCAAACCGCTTCATGTCATGGACAAATGCGTGAAGATGAGGGCAGTCGTTGATCTGCATGTTGTTAGCAATAGGCTCAGAATTTTATAGAAGGTACTTGCTAGGGCAATTGACTCAAGGGAGCCAATGGCGTAGATGCCTTCGGAGACCTTGCCCATCCAGCTCAGTGCCTCAAGCCAGTGGAGGTAGTGCTTTTTGAGGAATTCGTGCACTTTGTCGTTGTCACGAAGTAGGATACTACTCTTTGCAAGGTGATCGGCCCAGTAGAGGCATGCATACTGCATCTCAGGAGGAATGCAGTGCTCCAGTTGCTTCCGCCCCATGTCAGCTGCACGCGCACCAAAAATGGCCTACCCCACAGAGGTCTTGCTTAAGCAAGCTCGACAAAAGTAGGATGCATTTTTCTGTTAGTGCTGTATGCGCCTGCCTTTCGTCCACCCAAAGATTTTTATCCCTCCATCGGTCTTTGTTGAGAAGGAAATCGCGGAAAGACGGATGGTGAAGACGGACGTGGTTAGCCGGATGTTGTGGAACGTCTAGGATGGAGTGCAGTTCACTCAATGTTCCATCAACTTCCGCTGTAGAAAGAAGCAGTAGTTGGGCTAGCGAAATTGTAGAAAGTGGCGAATATAGAAGCACGATTGCTCCTAAAATCTCTTTCATCAACGTATACCACTTCTTCCTTTCGTAATTTGTATATCTGCGAATAGGGCGCTTGAGGACTGTAAGATACATACTGTCCAATTGATTTTCAGGGAGATTTTCGAACTGATCACCTGTGCCGGAATCCTCACTGGATGTGCTGTCCTCTGATGGATTGTCCGTAACAGTGTTGTCTTTGAGAACGATGCGCAGTCGGTCTTTGGCAAACTGTCCGCCTTCTTGAATAAAGCGAAAGGCAGTTGCAGCCCAGATAAACAGACCGCATGCACGCTGCACCAATTGTTTGATAGTCTCTGCGCCTGGCCAATCATCTCCGTAGTGACAGTCTTTTGCGATAATACTCAGCCAGTGCTCAAGAAAAATGCCAATGTCATGGTCAACGACCGACGGCGAGAAGCTGTGCAGGACGACGTCCTTGTGCTTTGAGTCTGCCATGTACCCAAACCCGTGCCGGATTGGTACTTCTGGCCTGCTAGTCAGGAACACGCGTAGTCGGACGCCGGTCAATGACGGCCGCACCTCGGCCAGCAGCTGTATGATGATTTGGATATTGTTGTCATTGTCGCACTCGTCAAGGGCATCAACGACTAGGATGTATGATCTATCCTCGCGCAGCTTGGACAGCGGACGAAGGATAAGGTGGTGCCACTGGTCGCGCAAGGATTGTCTGGCGATACCGCTGCGCTCTGCAATAGCATCGCGTATATGATAACGAGAAGCTGGAATGTTGTCCGCCAACTGCACCGCCATACTCGTGACAAACATGCCAGCGTGACTGACGTCACCGCCGCCTCGCGAAAAGAAGAAGCTGGCTGCGAGACGCTGGTTCGCGGAGTAGCTATCTGCAACCGTTCGCGCGACTGTCGACTTGCCTGTGCCTGCTAGGCCGCTGAGCCAGAAGATGCATCGCTCGTCCTGCCCGTCCGCCCAGCTGTGTATCTCTTGTAGCAGGTCGACGCGCGTGTCAGCGAGACATGCGGGCTCGTGCTGCTTGGCGAACGAGTTGAAGGGCGCATCTTCGGCGCGTGGGAGACGATCGAGTGTGTTCTCATGTCCTGTTCGACATGTCTGCTTAGCGCTTGACAGCCCTCAGGCAATCCCGGCGGCATAAATAGTACGTACTACCAATGTGGACATCGCCGTTGATGTTGTTAGCCTGGACGCTAGATACCGCATCCCCGAATTGTATATTCGACGTTGTGGAGGTCATGGCATCGCCATGGAAAAGCATGCATCATGAGTGGTGTGGTAGAGTCTGCAGTCATGGTCTGCAGCGCAGCACCTCCTCGACTTCAGCCTGGCGGCCATGTGGTCCGCAGCCTGTAGCGCCTGGTTGCTCATCCGTTTATGCCACAAGCCTCGCCACGGCCGTCCCAGCATCAGTTGCATCGCAACTCTCAGCTAACAGTACATAGAAGTCCCTGTAACATTCATCCTTTCTATCGCCAAGTCGCTACTAGAACACAACACCTCGACATCACCCAATATGTATACTGCCGTATATGTCTCTAGCCTATATGCCACGTTCGTTATTGCCAAACGTCGTATTCGTTATGCTCCCCGGTTGCTGAGATGGAGACGACTCTACAGACGGCGCCTTACTGGCAGTTTCTACCGCAGGAATCTCAGGCAAGAGCCCTTTAGCACATGCTGCCGCCGTGGCTGCTGCGTAGTTCTGCCAACTCTTATTCTTATGCGAATCTGCGTAGTCGCAAATACGACGAACAACAACACACGGGTACTCTTCCATAACTCCAGCTGCTTCCATCTCAAAGCAAATGACATCGTGCTTTCGTTGAACTCGGTTGCGCTCGACAGCCGATATTTGCAGCTGGTTGCTTGATGCGACATTGCCAAAGTGAACAAAGGGCCTATCGACAAGTCGAGTAGCTCCATCGCCTCGATCAGATCGCGACCAAATGTAATCCATATCGCAGCACTCTCGACAGTCGTTGAGTCCCGTGCCCTTGTGCTCATAAGTGTCTTCGAAGAGCCTATCGCGACCAGGGCCTGGGTCGTCGTACTGGCGTTTTTGTTCCTCGGGTAGCTTCGCGCGCATTTGCTGTAATACTTCTGCGATGTTTATCTTAGACCAGCCATCTGCGCGAAAATTATTGACGGCGGCCATCAGATCACCTGGAATGCCGTTTGTGTGCCCTCGAAATTTCAGCTGCCCTTGACCCTCCCACACGCCCTTGTCGTATTGCAATACCCCACCGTGCTTCCCTCGAGGATAGCTAACCACCACGTCGCCGAGTACAATCTCTGACGCTGCCCCAGGTGGCCCATAGCGGGGCACCCCGCCAGCAATGCCGACAAGGAGAAAATACTTGATATTGGAGAAACCAGTGCGCATCTTTTCAGCAAGAATCGCCGCACCAGTCAGCCCCGTTCTTCGCTGCACCCCAATGACAACATTGTGTTTTCTAATTCAGCCGCCCAAGTAGTATACGTTCTGGTACTGGACCTCCTCTTGTGGATACTCTTCGTCCAGCACTAGCCTTGCAGCCTCCTTCTCCAAAGGGAGAGGGCAAATCCATCCAATGGTGAATTGGTGATTCTTCGCCATTGTCATATGCAGGTTTTTATCGACGATGATTACCTGGGATGAAAAGCGACGTACATTGGCGAGTTGGAGAGGCAGTGAGTAGCGGAAGTAGCGCGCCAACTAGAGCAATGACGGTTAAAAGCAGTCGAACAGGAATTCCGGCAGCAACACTCGAGTATACTTCAGCCTTGCCATCATCGCCCACAGTCTTCTTGTATCAAAACTCTCTAATCATTAAATAGGCTAGCAAAAATACTTCAATTCTTACTGGAATGGCTATCGAAATAGAAACCTCAGCATGACTTGGCAGATTGTAATCCCAAAACGGGTCCATGTGAAATTGATACCCGTCTCAGTACTCACTAAACTAGTGGATGCTAGTTTTGATTGATTGAAAATTTGGTATTAATCCATTTTAATACCGTTCCCATAATAGATGCTGCGCTCCCAGATGTGATGAGCATTTTGATCCGCCCGACGATGAATCGATATACTCAATCAAAGACTTCACGTCTGAACTTCTGGGTCCAATTCTTCGAGTGCCACGTCTACGGAGACTATTCACCATTCTCGCAAGCGTATCAGTGTATGAGAAGGTCTGTCGTTACAAAGACGAGGTCTCAATAGTACCTAGAGTCTCCCGTGCTTCCAAACTTAGAATCCCAGTGCCAAATCATTCCTTACTCGGTCGCAGAAATGTCCGTGGATCTGGTGTTCTTTTCCCTTAAAAGCACAGCCTTCGGCTCCCCACGCAAAGATAACGTTTTGGCATTCAGAATATGGTATCTCTTGTATGCTGCTTTTCATAGAACATCGAAATAGAGTCTCGCTGTAAAGGATGCTTAGAAAGATACGTTGCTCCTAGAAGGGATGCCATAATGCACTATTCTCGTAAACGAAAGACATAATCTTTGAGCAATATTTGCACAATATTTTTCAGGCAGGGTGAGTGTGGGTAGGGAAAAACGAATATTCTACCTCGGCTTTGCATTAAGTACACCACTGGCTAAAGCATCTTGGTACGCTGTCTGGCTCAACCTTAACTGTGGAAATGGCGTAACAGAGCCCGGCCCCTCCATATCACAACAGTTTCTCATACTCCCGCCACCACTACTAACTACATAAAGGATACAGCTCTGCCTCGGTCTGTGCTGACTCTACTTCCAAAAAGGACGAATGCACATGCACCTGCTGTGACGGACTCGTATACCACGAACCCCGCCCCTCTCGTAAGCCACAAGCGATTAAGGACGACCCATGCACCGACGGCGACCTAACAAGTTGGACGTATCTTACGTTATATCGCAAACCCAATACGTATCAGGATTCCAAAGCCGCCTGAGAAAATCTCGACATCAAAGAAGACGACATCATGGTGAATTCCAACAATTTGGACAGATGAGAGCACATGGAGTTCTTCGTGGATCGAATGAATATTGGGGAAACACACGGATCGGGTAAACTTGACAATGGACCACGTGGTGATGTTGAGTCTTGTTTGCACAATAATGGTGGTCAGCATGGATATTTCACTATCCCTAAAGGTACGACACTTCTCTACTCTTTATGAGCCTTGGATTTTCCAAGGAGGCTTTTCGTATACGGCGATAAAAATATTACTGGATGAAACTGATATATGGGTTTTTAGGCAACCACACTATTGGGCTTCAGTCGACTAAAGTTACAAATGCTTGCAAGGGCTGGTCATACGGTTACGGATACCACAAGATTTACAAGAAATGCTAATAACATGCTATGCTTCTACCCACCTATCCCAGTGGATGGAAGCGCTATATCACGAATAGTATGTATTAAACACCAGAAGATTATATTTAATATACTGCTAGTGAATATCCACCTGGGTACTCGTATCTGTATTTAAATTGGTTGGAGAGATATGCTCCCCCATTAATCTGAGCGTGGAGTCCAAGTGCGGCTCAGATGAGCGTAATCCACAACGAGATACAATCGAGCAGCTCGTCATAATCAAGTATGCATCACCTGCTATGGCTCTGTACAGCTGTCACTTGGGGTATAGCCCGCATTCGTTACACAATTGTTGTACAATACACCACATAACTCCATATCATTATCCCATTGAATAGGCTCCTTAGATGGAATTAGCAACAATATGAAAAGCTAGCAAATAGACACTTACTGCATAAGTAGGATCGCTCAAAGCAGTGTTAACAGCTTTAGCGCACTTGACCATGCTTTCATTACAGCCACTAAGTGCCTGTGGATTTTGACGACGAATAATTACAGGCGCATCAATTCCGGGTGGAAGGTTGTTGTCGGCTTCTCGGAGCTGCCGCAGCCATGTACGGTAACAATGAGTACTGCAGGCCTCTCGTGCATGCGTATTATTATTATTCCATTATAGTCCTGTATCAGCCGTTGGCTATGTAGGACTTTGGCCAAAGGCCGTTCTATCTAACTAGTTACAATTTGGTACGTTGTGCTGTATTGCGTGACTATGGTGCTTCGGCCTGTATCTAGCTAAGCTATTAC